TTTGCACCACTAGAAAGGTTGAGAAGTGGCTCATGCAACAACATCTTCACTCATATTACCATTTTCATGATCTTGTGAAAACAAGGGGAGTTTAAATTGAACAAGGAGAAGATACAGAGAGAGACATCACTGAGAGGCTCAAGAAACTACACGGCAGACTGCACTGCAATTAAAACAAGCATGGAAAACTTTGGGTCCTACACTTGTCATGTCAGTGGATCAAAAAAGGATCAAGTGATTAAGTGGAAGACATCCACCTTTTGCCTCAGGACTCATGGCTCAGAATTTCTTTTATCTTTTATTCTTTAAATCTCCTTTCTTCTCTCTCTAGAGGAAGTTTTTACTTCTCTGGCCATATTATTTTCTCTGCCCAGTTAATCTTTGTCAGCTAATCAGGGTTTGATGGGAAGCAGAGCATGAAGCTGAAGAACACTTTGCTGTCCTTGTTCTGTGCTGAGCTCCTCTCTGGATAAACAACACCAGCTCTGCTGTGCAGTGGCAGCTTCTGAAGGTAAAAGAATGATGCTGCAGGAGGTGGCCAACCTCAGTCCCACCTGTGAAATCTGAATTAAACCCTGAGATGCGTTTTGTGTGGATAATTCTAGAGCACAGGAGAAAATGTAGCATCCCTGGGGTGAACAATGCCAGGAAGGGTTTTCATCCCTGCTGATCTGATTCCAACAAGCTGCACTTGCCTAGGCACACATCTTGATTGTACAAATTGTGTGTGGCATTTTCTGCTTGACTGGCCAGTTAAAATGCCAATGAAACTCTGGTGCTAGTTTGCTACTTAGGCCACCCCTGGAAGTGCTCAAGGCCAGGTTTGAGGGGAGCCTGGTCCAGTGGAAGGTGTCCCTGCCCACAGCAGGCAGCTGGAACTGGATGCTCTTTCTCTTCCAGCCCAAACCATTCTGTGATTCTACATTTCTATGATTTTATATTGTTCTGAAGTTATTGGTAATTAAGAGCATTCAAAATCTTGGAGAAACACTGTGCTCTTAATGATCACTCAAAATTTATTATATTCCAGAGACTGTTTGCTCAACTGTTCAGTGCCCTTGAGTAACTGAGAGGTGAGAACCTTGTATCCATCCAAAAGTTTTTCTGGAAAGGCATCTGTTATTTGACTCCAGAAGCTGTCTAAATATTTTCTTATGTAATTTCTTGAAGTGTATTTGAAAAAGTGAATGTTTACAGAACTTATTTTAAAAGCATAGAGAACAAGTGTGAAGAAGGGTGGGTTTGTTTTTCTTGTTTTTGTTTTTTATTTTTTCCCCTAATTCTAACTAAATACTTTTTTTTTTTTCCCTACTGCATTGGTATTTTTGCAGGTCAACAAAAGATTCTAAAACTGACTAAGTGGTTGATGAAAATAAGCTGCTTTCCTACAGAGGGTAATATCAGAAGTTACAGCAGGAGAAATTACTCGTCTGCACAAATATATTTAACACTCATAGAAATAGAGGTTTGAACTGTACAGATTATTCCAAATAACACAAGATATGTGTAATGGTGTGAGAGGTTAAGCCAAAATTGAGACAACTTTTCCTACTTTCTTATCCCCAGCTCCTCATGCTCACAGGTTTCAGTGCATACACAACACCTTTGTAACTAACCCAGGGCTAAACAAAGGAAGTCTGATTTGTCAGGCCAAAGTTTACTTACATTTTCTGCCTCTTTTCATCATATGCCAGTATCTTTGTCACATCCCAGTCTCCAGATGTAATAGCCTGTAAGTCATCATTGCTACTGTTGGGCTGCCAGAAAGAAAAGAGAATGAGATTTCTTTATTGCTAAAACTTCTGAAACAGGGAGCTCTTCTGGCTCCATTGCCCATGAAAAATAAACCAAACATCTGCAATTTCCACCACTACACCTGCCATTTCTGTGAATCTGCAGGTATAACAGAGTCAGAATAATTTTAACCATGTCTCCACTGAAGATGATGAGGTGAATTCAGCACAGAGCAACTTCAAACCCCTTCCTCTAATACAGGTGCCCACATGCTTCTGTTTAGTCCTTTATGGCAGAGTGGAGATTTACTTATCTATGACTAAGGTGACATCACAAAAACAAAACCAATAATAATTGTTCGGAAAGAGACAATCCACTGACCTTTCTCTTTGGAAATTCACATTATCTTATGCCCAAATAAAGCATCATTGGAAGTTTTCTTGTATGCACAAGACTTTTTTACATCTGCACCTGCCCATCTCGTTGCTACAAGCACAGACACCACTTTTTATTGCTGTCTGCCTCAGGTGAGGCCCAGAGCAGCAGCAGTGAGTCACCTGTGAGGATGACATGGCGATGTGGTAGAAATGCCCACGTCCTCCCTGGGGAATGGCCCGGACAAAGAAAAACTTCCGACCGTCCCTGGAAAAAACGGGCTCTTCATTCTGTAAAAGCAGCAAAATTAAGGCGTGAATTAGTGTTAATTGAATTTAGAATTGCTAATTGTTAATCATATTTAGAATTGCTCAGCACTCCAACACCCTGTAAAACTAATTCACAGCAAAACAGAAAGTGGTCTTTGATAGCAAGCTGAGGCAAAGAGCCCACTGAAAACTGGAGGAAGTTTTGAGGTTTGCTTCTTGCTCTTGGGAAAGCAGACACCTTTCATCTGGGGGAGGACAGGCAGCAAGGAGAGTTCCTTGGCTATAAAGTCAATTCCCATTTGCAAAGCCAAAATGCACATTCTCAGCTGGCTGCTCGAGGCACTTGGAGCCTTTAGAACTGCTGTGACAAACCCTGATTACCCTGCTGGAAGAACCTCTCTGTTCTTCCAGAGGAAACACAACTGAACAGCATCTGACTGCTGTCTTTTTCTACTGCCTTACAAATGCTTATCTCACTGAATTATTTATGAAGGAGAGGATCTCCTGCAGCACTCTTTGACACAGAGCTCCCCAGTGAACATGGTGATTGAATTTATTGGGTGACTGGAACTTCCACCCAGAGATAGAAGAGACTCCACAGAAGGAAAATCAAACACCACATGTGGCAAGCAAGCATCTCTTGGAAAGGAATATTCTTTTTGTGAACAAGAGCCCTGAGGCTCATGAGAAGTCTCCACTACATGAAAAGGTTGAACAGCAGATTACCAGGGAAGGCAGAAAGATGGTCCATGTGGTGGGACTCAGGAGCTCTGTACCAACAGGACTGGCTACATGAAGCTAACTCTGTGTCAGCTAGTTGGGAGTCAGTAATAAGCTCAACCTTTGCTGAAGCTTCCTGTGATATCAGGATTTTCTGTGCCTGGATGAGCCCTTCTTTGGCTGGGTTTTGTGAACCCTTCTTTATCCAGGGCAACCAACAAAGAGATGTTGCCAGCCTCTTCTGGGCCCTCTGCAGTTCAGTGTTAATCAAACCCCTTGACTTTCTGCTTGGCACATGCCAAGACACCACACTGAACCAGCAGGAACCTGGTTGTACATGGAGACTTATGGCACAGCAAAGGAATAAACATTTTTATTTCCCATAAGCTAACACATTATTCTTACTCTGTGTTCCTTTGCTCCTTTGTTCTTTACTGATTAATTCTTTTCTGCTATTCATCAGATTTGTCAGTGCTCTATTAGGTGTTCAAACTGTTCTTTTTGCCTTTTATTTTCCCCTGCTTAGGTTTTCAGTGTATTTTAAAATGTGCCCATTTGCAGCTTGTTGCAGCTCAATGAAATAATGGTTTCATTTATTTCTGACATTGTTCTGGAACCTGAAACACGAAACTCTATATTATTTCCAAATGTCTTTCATGACAGGAGAAACCTCATTGAATAATGACTGTGATAGCTCAGGCAAACCTTCTGCTCGACAGGTTTTCCTTTCCTGAGGTAGGTAGCAATGAGTTCACCCTCCATTTCTATATCTGTGCCTCCTGCATTATGTATTCCAGCAATATGTCTCTGCCAGTGAGAGCAGGCATTGTGCTGATGAGTTTGAGGTTCATTCAGAGCCACAGGGGAAGGAGGTTCACAGCACAGGTGATAGATGTGAGTATTTAGCACTGGGCTGGGGATACAGGACAGTCTGTTTGCATGTTTCATTGCTGGAAAGGCAGCACATGAATGAGGCAGAACTTTGTGACAGAGATGATGACTTACCCAGGGGGTAAATGGAGAGACAGACTGAAATTCTCTTGGAACAGGATTTTATAATTTAGGGAGCTACACTGGGCACATAATTATCAAATGTTGGCCCAAAGACAAAGGATGCAGCAGAAATAGGACCCAGAGTTCCATAACAGAAATATTCAAATTCATCCACCAGAGATAAAAAAGCAGCTTCTGGCTACAAACAAGAAAATATTCTGCATGTGATATGAACTGTCAGAACCTTTTGTCAACTATTTTTGACTGAATCCCACAATAATAGAACAGAACAGCCCTCCTTGAAAATAATAGATCAGTTTAGTTCTAGTAAAAGACAATACTTTTACTATGCAGCAGGTATGGAATGTTTGGAAGTTTTTGCCATGGGAGGATTATAGCCACAGGTGGAATCAGTAGGTAAAAAAAGGTATTGAACAAATTCCTGTTTCATTAATACATTTTAAAGGATAAGGGTATAATCTCAAATGTCTGTAATCTTTTTGTTGTAGATGATAGTAAAATATGAGAAAATTATGCCACCAAATACTTCAGGTTTTTTGGAAAAGAGAAGGCAATGGGAGGATGCTGGAGGGGTCAGAACCTCCTGGAGAGTTCAGTGCTGGAGCTCAGAGCTGCACAACTCAACTCAGTGTATCCGCAAAAGGTCAGGAGAAAAAAAAACGAGTGCCCCAGGGCTTATCCCAAGCTTGGCAGAATCAGGATGGGTGAGGGGACAATGCTAAATGCAGTCTGAGCTTCTGTAGATCCTAGAGAGGAGCACAAAGTCCTGGTGTAAAGAATAACAATTAAAAAGGTTGAGTGTATTCAATTGTGTTTGGAGAGGGATCACTGAGCATCACTGGATCTGCAGCCACCTGAGGAGACTCCTCTTGCAAAACAAGGGAAGATAAGGTGTGGACAGGAGGGTGGGGAGTGCACAGGTGTCTCTAACCTTGAGGATTTGCATGATCAAACACACACCAGGACAAATATTTGAAAGAGAACTGATCCGGTTTATGGTGAGCTGGAATTTATGAAAGATTAGTGGACACAGAAATCCAGCTCTACCAAACCCATCCACACACTAACATGGGGCAAACAATCATCATATTTCAGCAGCACACATTGCAGCTCCAAACTGGTTTGTCTGTGATCAACACAGTCCCAGCCCCCAGTTCTTCTACAGCGCCTCACATGCTCTTGGACATTTCCTCACAGAAATTAGTGGTAAAGCAGATTCTTTGCATGTTGGTTTTATTACTGACTGAGAGTTATACTTCCACAAGAATTATGATTTTCTGGTTCATCCTCAGGTTTTAAAAAGGAAACAAATTAATCTGAATAACTGGATCCTTTCCAATTGATTCTTTGATGTATTTTCCCTTTGTCAGCAGTCTCCTGCCCTCTGTGTCTGATCCATCTTTGCCCAGATCCCAGAATTAAAGATTTAGCTGTGATGGCAATTATTATTTCAGTGAAATGCCCCAATACTTTCTGTGTCACAGGCCCATAGCTCTGATAAACAGATAGGTGTGACATGAATTCTTTTAATTGCTTGCATATTGGTAAACTCTTTGTTTAAATCCAACAGAGAAAACACCCAATGTGCACTGACTCTAATGGGACAATGCAGACACCTCTTTAGGGCAGGGGGAAGATCTCTTTCCATCTCCTGACACACTCAGCCCCTGGGACAATGCTGAGCTTCATCCTCATCCTTATCCTCATCCTCTTCTGTGGCTGGGTGCACCACACCTTTGGCCATCTCTGAAGCCATGGCAGCTGCACCAAAATCAGAGTCAACAACTGGAAAAGATCCAATGTCTCTGGGTAGAGATCCCCCTCACTGGGTGAAATGGGAACTCTTCCTTTAAGCACCAAAAAGATTGTTTGTAGCCAGGAGCTGCTTTTTTTACCTCTGGTAGATGAATTTGAGTATTTGAGTTATGCAACTCTGGGTCCTATTTCTGCTGCATCCTTTGTCATTAGGCCAAAATTAGGTCAGTTATAGGACAATTGCATGGCAAAAGGGCTTTACAGGGTGAAAAAGTGGGTCCTGTTTGTAAGTTCCTCTGAACTCTGTTTTTATTTTAAAAATCTCTTCTCCTACCTCATGTTAACTACATGTAAGAACCATTACTAAGTTATCATGCAGGATTAAAGCAAGGGAGTATTCATCATCTCCACCTTTTAAGCCTTTAGCTTCAGACTGATGTCATCTAAAGCAATGGGCAAATAGAACTGGAAAGAAAAATGCAACCCAAAGAAGCTGTTATCAGGGGAGGGCAGCCAGCCCATGCAGGCAGTTTTGGAGGTTATAGGTCTCTAAACAATTTTATGGTCTCTTAGTCCTGCCAACATCAGTGCCAAAGCCTGCAGCCTTTGGTGGAGTTGCTATTGCACCCTGGTTTCCAATTAAATCTTTTTTTTCAGGCCACATTCACAATTAAATAAATAAAACTGTTAAAATGCCAGTAAAGTTGATCATCAGCAGGTGCTCAGAAATTGCCTGATCTCTCCCTTGCTGACTCATAGCCTGTACATGACCATCCCCAGTACCATTGGAAAATGGCTTCTAGCTATAATTAGTGTTCCAAACAGTTTGTGTATTTAAGCAAAAGCATGAGTGAAGTTCAGTCTGGCTCTTGTGCTCAGAAGTGCACAAGCAAGTATATAAATAAAAGAAGTATAAACTTGCAGAGTCCCTGGACAGTTTTAGTGAATATGTGCCACCTCATCTGACAAAGAGTGACAGATACTTTCTAGCAAATCCTGTGTAAATACTGTGTATTCCTCATTATACTTTGAGTAGTTTACCCTATTTTTTAGCTGCACGGGAAGTAGCTGCATTATTTCTCTTTACCTGTGTTGGAGAGAGGCTCTCCAAAGATTCTGGACTTGCATAAAATATATTCATGAACTTGAGCCCAGAAGGAAATATGAGATTGTTTACTATGACCTTCCACACACAGACTTCTAAATGCTGCTGAGTCACCAAACTACTAAACAACAAAATTCAAATTCATGGCTTGTATGCTTTATCTCAGAACTCCCAGGATTTCAGACAGCTGAAAAAAGCCAGCCCTGCCATCCTTGGAGACTCCCTCGTGTCCTTGGTGAGTGTCTTCTTGTCCCCTAATCCCAGCTGACTGTTTGTCCCTATTCAAGGATGCACCTAAATTCCCAGGAAAAAGGTAAAACCTGTGCATGCCTTTCAAACCAGGCATACGGGGAATTTTTAAAGGAGTATTTTAAAGAACAGGGTAAGCAGTTGGATTCCTTGGTCCTACTGATTTAAAATTGGGCCACTTCTGACAAGGAGATCTTAGGGGTGGGCTGAACCCTGCCCGGGGTCCCTTGATTGTGTGACCCCACTGTCACCAGCCTGGCTGTCTCCAGAGGGGACAGGGCACCTGGCTCATTTGCAAACACTTATATTAAAATGTCTCAACCAAGGAGTCCTCATCCTGAGCCAAGCCACACTCCTGAGATCCTTCAGCAGCTGCCTGATGTGCAATTAATCTCCTTCTTGAAGAGGTTAGTGGACTAAAACTAGCATTTAACATTTTCACATCATTCTCATAGTCTGGCACACATGCCATGAAAATACCTTTCCAGTTATCTGGATTAATGTGTCATAGAATAAAAGGCAAATATAGAAAATACAATTATCCCAGTAATCATATTCAGTCAAAACTAGAATTTTAAGTAATTTTGTTGTCAGAAATACTGACAAAAGAGCTATATGATTCTCCAGACTCTTACAAAAGCTTTTGAAGGATGCCATCAAATGTCTCCAAAGTCCATAGAAAATGTTATTTTAGTTTAGCACTGAGATGTCTGACTCATTTGGCTGTAATGAACACCCTTCTCTAACATTAAACTAAGTGTGTGCTCTCAAACTAAGCACATGCTTTTGGAGATGTAGTAAAACAAAATGTATTTCTCTGGAGCAGGTCCATTAGAGACTGACAGATCATTTACTTCAGATTTGAGGATAAAGCACCATCTTTTAATGCCTGTCCACATGGTAGGTGACTAAATAACCACAGCAGTGTAAAAACACAAGTTGTACTATACTGTGTTAATAAAATACAACTTCTACTGAACTGCAGTAAATAGCAATGAAAGGATTATTTTCCTGCTATTGCCTTCAAACTTATAAAATAAATAATGCCAGTTAAGGGTGGTGTTTTTTGTGGTTTTTTTAATTTTTTTTTTTAATGTACAAGTTCTGGACAATTTAATTTTCCCTTGATTTGGCTTGTCTTTTAAGCTTTTGTTTTCTACTCAAGCCAATAGAGTCCTTATGAACGCAAAGAATATTTCAACACCATTTTTACTCTATATCAGCAAAAGATTATTTGAAATGCTTGGAGCACAGAACCTATTTCCCCATAAAATCAATTTTCATGTGGATCACACACTGCCCATTGCTGCAGGACAGCCACTGGAACAGGGGAGCATTGTTCTTGCTGTGAACTGATGAAATGCCATTTCTACAGGGTCTTGGCTCCTCTGAGCAGGCTGTGACAAAAATTTGAAATGCTTTAAATCTGGACTTGGAAAAATATATCAAACAAGATATTTTGTGACATGCTGCTCCCTGTCTGGCATTCACACAGGGCTTGAAAAGCAGTTTGGTGTTGTGGCTGAATGGAGATCACAGCTTCTCTCTCAAATCCAGCTTCATTTAATCTGAGGTCCCTTCACACACTGACTCCTGGGCAAGTGTTATATATGATATTTATCTGACTCAACACTCTATCTGCATGATGTTGTCTCTGAATGGACAGAGAACCTCTCAATAAAATGACCAGAAAACAACAACCATAGTATTTAAACTGTGATCATCAGTGTCGGGGCAGGGTGTGAAGGATTTCCTCTGAGGCTGATGAGTCCTATACAGATACTGCCAGTGAGTGATTTCCCTCCCACATCAGCTTTTCATCTCTTTTAAGTACAAGGAAATTGCAGGCTGAGGACTATGGGACCTACCAGAGTGGATGGCATCTTTACTGAGAACTTGTTTGTTACTGAGAAGCTCTTTCCTGTTATACAGATCATGCCGTCTTCCAAGTCGCTCTCTCAAATCTGGAAATCACTTTTTTCTCTTTGGGGAAAAACTCAATGAAGCAATTATCCTACCAAAAACTTGACTACAAGGAGAAGATCACTCTTACCTGTCTGTGCAGCCAGGCATCGCTCTCATCTTCATGTTTCTGAAACACAAAAAGATCATTAATACCATACTTGTCATATATTATATTTTGCCTATCAATGCAGGAAGCTGTTGGATTAGAGAAAACACAAAAAGATCATTAATATATATTATACTTGTCATATATTATATTTTGCCTATCAATGCACGAAGCTGTTGGATTAGAGTTGAAAGGTTGCTCAGAAATACAGAGAAACTGTTTAAATATGTGTTTCTGAAGTGGAATCCAGTGGCTGCTTTTCTTGACTTTCCTTCCTGTTGGACAAGCATTCACTAGATCAAGAAAGCATTTTATACATACAGACAAAACAGATAAATCTACAAGCTGTATTATTCCTCAAAGAAATAATATTCTTAAGAAATAAATATAGGCTGAAATTAAAGTTATTAAGAAAAAAAACTTCTCACCATGCTCTATGCACAGAATTGCATGATCATTTTCAAGGGATGGGTGTATTAGAACAATTTTATACAGTGGAAACACATGCCAATTTAAATGATGGAATCTGCTAATGGAATCTGCTGATCTTCTATCAATACACCATTTGGATTAGTGCATTTATAGAAGGGACTAATTAACCACAACTAAGATAAGCAGGAGCTGGTTTTAATGCCATTAAATACATATAATTCAGCTAGAATGTTGCAAGGGTATTTAGGCTGCAAATTGTTGAGGTGTGCAAGCTTGTGTGTGGGTAAAGGTGATCAAGACAGGTAATCACTCTCCCTCAAACACACACAGGGTGTTCTTGGATTACTGGGTGTTAAAAAAAAATTAAAAACTGAACATTGTTTATGTTCTGTCTGCCTGAATTAATTGTGTTCCGGTTGGCTTTTCACCATGTAAAATAAGTTAAATAGTTTCTCTTTGCTTGGGTTATGGACACTGATGGCAAGTGACCGCTGTGCAAACCTCTCCTACCTTGGTGCAGACCCCCGTGGTGGCGTCGCAGAGCGTCAGGATGGACACGTTCTGGGCCCTGTTCAGCCAGTTCACTGCCACCTTGGTGCTGGTGGCCCATTTCACCATGGTGATGTAGTAGTCCCTGCAAACACACACACACACAGAGCAGGTCACAACGCTGCCATCCGGAATTGCCACGCGGCAGAGCAGGGGCTGCTGCGGGCAAACAGGCCAGGAGACAGCTGTGGTTTTAAAGAACATCATGTCCTGATGTCTCTAGACTGCTTTATGTATGGATTTCAACCCCTAAAAATGACATTTTTAGGGCTGAGCAGGTGTTTTATCTGCCACTTCTGGAAGTTATTTTCAAAGAAGAGACGAATACAGAGATAAAGACTCTTTCAAGCTATTCTGTCTTCCAAGAAGGATTGAACTGCCTGGAGCTACAAATTTATGCACAGGTGGAAAAGAAATTGCAAACCATTTCCATTCTGAGCTAAACTAAACTGAGCTGACTCAGACCCATCACTATCAATGGTTGGGTTCTTGATGCTTATGAAAAGCTGATGGCCTCTGGGCATGCTGGCTAAACACCAAAGTATCCAGGAGTGTTGTATTAAAAAGACAAATAGTAAGAAGGATTTTGGAGCAACACAGGGTTTCTGTAAAGCAGATGCAGCTGGTTGCTATAAAGACATCGGCAGAGACAGTTTACATGAGCAAAACCACCCTCCTACACTCCCTGCATCATCTTATTGCTGGACATTTTCAGGTTGTGATGATACTTGGAGTAAACCATGGGTGTGGACTGCACAGTCCTGTAATTGATACCTTCAGGAAAAGTCCCATGCAATAGTGAGGACTGCAACCACCTAGGCTGGGCTGGAAAACACAGGAATAAATCCAGTGATGGTTGCCTTCTCAGAGCCAGGGCATGGTGCTAGAGATGCCCACCTCTGCAGCAATTCAGGGCTCCAGCACTTCATTTGCAGGGCACAACTCTGGCTGAACTGCCAAAGCTGGTGATGTTATAATATACTGCTGGGCCATGTGGGCCAAGAGATCCTTAAAGTATAATAAGACTTTTTACAGCATACAGTCTATAAAAAATTTATTAGTTCATTTGTTTGCTATAAAATATGTATAAGGAATTGTTGCTCTTGTTGGAAATAATGTGCTGTGTCACTGGAGAGCCCTTTGTGTTCTGGCAAGAGCTCCTGCATATACTGAAGAGAAAGGGCAAAAGCACAAAGGTCTGTTTGTCTAGAAAAATAACAAGCTGGAAATTGATTTTGTACTTTTCAGTAATATTTAGTGCCTGAAATTGGCTGCAGGGAAAAGGAACAAAAAGCCTCAATACTTGCATCCACTGCACTAGGGAGAAGGATATGCCCAGGTGAGACAACAGCAGTCTGAAAATTTAGAGCCTGAAAGAAAACTGTAATTTTACTCTTCATCAGCAACAGTGTAGGCCCTAAGAGGAAAAAAAAAACCCCAAAACAACACAGCAAAATTAAACTGTATAACTGTCTCTTCTTTCTCTCCAAAATGAACTGAGCAGATTCAGTCTCCCCAGAAAAAGGAATGTGATTTTAGTACTTATTGTAGCTTGGAGCATTTTTTCTATAAATCCAATTTAAAGGTTCAAGGACATATATTCAATTTTTACATCCTTCCCACTGTTTGAACACAGGAGTCACAGTTCTTTCTCAGGAACTTATGACTATTATTTTAGGTAAATCATGGTCTTCCCTACCACCCCAGAGAAGGGCATGGAATCTCAATTCCCCTCTGAACCCTCTTCCAGTCATCAAGACCACGGATAACCCAGCCCACAGATAACTGCAGGTACCTGGTAGTCATTATTCTAGTTTTTGAGTAGTGTGGAGTCTTTAATTTCATTTACTTCCCTTCATGTCTCTTCTATAGGACACCCAAGTTTTATGGTTCTCATTTTGCAGCGGAAAATGAGACAAGAAGGTGTGATTCATCTCAGCTAATTTTCAACATCTGCTGCTCCTGCAGCTGCACTGGTTGAGCAGCCAGTGGAGAGAAATGGGAAATCAGTGCAATTCCCAAGCCTCTCTGCCTGTCCTGTCCCACATTTTATGTGGAGCTGATCAAAGGGAGAACCTGTTTCTTCCACAGAATGAAATCCATGGTGGTCCTTGGTGGTCCTTGACCACTGCATTTACAGACATCCACACCAGAGCAAAAGGGAAGGGGCACCTTGTTTGAGACCTGTCAGGAAGGGTGAAGCCATCCTGAGTTTTGCAATGGATTTCCACACCCCAGTAAAGACATTTTTGGTTCAGTCTGAATCATCTAAGACTGAGGTTATTGGGCAGAGCCTTGTTCATGCCCCAGCTTTCCACGGCTGCTTCCTGGAGGCAGGAATCCCCAACACGAGGTGTGACCCTACAGTATGAATACCTGCAGTATGGCCACGGCGACAAAGGCACAAACAGCACAAAGAACAGACAGTGATTTATTACAGACCAAGGGACAGGCAGCAGCACAGCCCATGGTCCCTGGGCACAGACAGTGCCTCAGATCCAGACTGGAATTGTCTGACTTTTTCCATTATTTATTTGTTTCTGGCCCATGCAAGGGCCAGTGATGATTTCTGCGCTTGAGGGAGATAACACCATCCCTCAGTTTGCCATGTGAGATGCAAATATGAGAAATAAACTGGGTGATGATCAAATTCTGACCAACTGCAGATGAAACTCTTGAGGTCCAGTGGTTTTTGTCAAAATAAAAAAAATGCTTGTCAGGCATTAAATGTTATAGTACTACTTTTCACCCTTCAATTTCAACCCCTTCCCTTCACTTTCTTTTTTTCACAGAAGAGCATGACATTGGAGAAAACCTGACAAAAATGCTCAGAATGAAAGATATTTAAAAAGTGATCAATATTGTACATTTCACCCCAAATATTTTTTCCCATCATCAGCTTTTTTTTTTTTTAATTTTTTATTTTATTTGTTTTATTTTGTTTTGTTTCAACTGAAAAATATCCAATTTCTCTGGAAAATTTCTGGCTTCTTTCAGTTTTGAAAGCAAAAATATCTCCACTTTATTCTCAGCTTTATTAATTGTACCAAATAACTTTGCTCCAGATAAAAAGAACATGAAATACCACTCTGTCCATATATCATCTGCACTGAGCACACAGAAATGTTTCAGATAGGATGTGTCTGCTGGAAGATCCTTATCACCAACTTCCCCTGCTTTCTTGAGACTCCCTTCTGTAACTGCATGTACAGTACATCCCTCTTGCCTATTTTAATAACATTTTATCACACTAATCTTCTCATTTCAGAAAACATATGCATAATGAAAATACACCCCTATTGCTCTGGCAGCACTACTTCTATCATCCCTACAGATAGCAATTGCCATGGTTTTGATGAAATATACAGGCACTAATTAATTATGGTGTATTTTGCATCATTTTGTAATATTGATTGCAACCAAATAATTTATGGCCACCCATAACCATATAGAACAAATTTATGAACAGCACTTGGATCCTGCAGTTGGAAGTTATTGCTGTAATTAAAACCTTTCTGAGTCTCTCTGTTTACAGAGAATGCTACCAAAAGAGAAATGATATTGTTCAGGAGCCACCATTCTGTTACTGTGATGGGGATGCTGGGATCCTGAATTTCCACCTGCTGTACATAGGTCTGCAGTTGTATTTTTGAAAGGCAAATACCCATTTGGTTTGGCAAGAACTCATACTTCTTTTGCATAAATGTGTTTGGATTGTTTTAAAGTTATTCAGTGTAAACCTGTTCTAATATAATGTTCCATAAAATACATGTAAAATGGCGAGTAATTTGAAAAAAAATAAGCATATTTACACAAAATGAAACTTTTTGATAGCAGCAGAGAAAGGTCCAGTGTTAAAAACTGTAAAATTATCTTGAAAAAAAACCCATGGGAACTGGGGTTAGCATTCAAGGGTGAGAAATCACCTACCTCATTCTCTGATCATCTGGGGGAGTCATTTCCAGGTCATGAGTGGGTCCATTCAGACCAATCACATGCAAAGAAATAGTTGGATTTTCCATTCCAGCCTGGATTTTAGAAAAGAATAAATTACCATATCATATACAACACAGAATGGTTTTGGTTTATTGTATCCCCATGGATTATGAAAAGCATTTCCATTGAAGAGGATATGGATTGGACTGCTATGGTCTTTCACAGGGAGGCTGCTCAAATCTAGGATACGGCACAGAGGTGTGGAGAGGTTGGCAGGCACAAAAAAAGGGTAATTTTACTCAGGACACTTCTAACCTTAGTAAAAAAATCCTCCTTTTCATGGCAACTAGAAATTTTGCTATTTCCTGCACCTTTTGACAAAAGATTGTCTAATAGGATGATGGTTGATATAGTGAAATACTGATTCATTTTGCACTGGGAGAAAAGGCATCACCTGCTGAACCACTGATTCCCACAAAACCTGCATATTTGTGGGTGTCTCTCCTGTTAAATTATGCTCCAATTTGAACCAGCATGTGAGGTTTAAGGCAACCAGTGCTTAAAGCAAGAAACCCAGAAGGAACGACTGCAGCAGACACCCCTGTGCTGCTTTAGAGCAGGAAATGCCAGCAGTAACAGCAGCAGTGAGTCTGTGCTGCTGGGGAGCTGTGTCAGTGCTGTGCACTCCCCGCAGCGCTGCAGTCAAGGGGAGATTGGCTCTTAAGTCTTTTCTGTCTTTCAGGCACAGCAAACCTCTTAAACCAATGTCTCCTCTGACATTAGGCCACCCTGGATATTCTAAGGAAGACCAAATACTGCATATATCCATCTATCTCTTATCTATCCATCTATCTATCCATCTATCTGTCTATCTATCTATCCATTATCTATCTATCTATCTATCTATCTATCTATCTATCTATCTCTCTATCTCCTATCTGTCTATCTATCCATTATCTATCCATCAAATAAAAAATCTAAATATAGAAATGTATCTAAATATAGAAACATGTCTAAACATAGAAACATATCCAAACACAGATATAAAGAAATTCCAAACCCTCAGACACCAACAAGCCCATCCTGGAGGCAAACCCGCAGATAACATCCAACTTCCATCTGTTCCAGCAGGGAAGCACAATTTCTTTTGTGTGTGTAAAAAGCAAGGATTTGTAAATTGTATTTTCATTGTAAATAGAGTCACTAATTCTCATAGAAGCAGAAAAGTGCAATTTTACAAATGCAGCTAAAGGGTGTGCTAAATGCACATTTACTGAGGAACAGCTGATCTGTTTATTTTCATTGCTTATGAGTGTGCATTATTAGTCTCCTGTCTGAGCCCACTGGAAATAAACAATTATTTATTTCTGATAGAGCAGCAGGACTGATTTTTAAATTTCCCCTTACCTTTGGATAATGGTAAGTTTTAACAGTAGGGTAAAGGATGCCTGTATATATTGGGATCTCCATGGTGGGGACTCTGGAGGCATTAATTGTTGCATATGCCAGCCTGGTACCATCAGGAGACCACCAATGAGCAATGTGAGTCTTCAAGATCTCCTCTAATTTAAAAAAAAAAAGAGAGAGAGAACAGAAAAGAAAGGGCTATTAGAGGTAAATTACTAGTTAGCAAAAAATGAAAGAGTGAAGATATGAAAATCCCAGTCTAATCTCAGCACAGGGAGGATGCCACAGGAATATCAATCAAAAATACTAATCAAATTATGCCATATACACAAATGAGCACAATTGATAACAATTACTCTGTATTTATAGGTTATTAGGCTTAATTACCTTTGCTGAAGAAACATCAAATTATTCATATTAGTACACACACTCATGACAACATAAAAGGCACTGCTTCTCCTGCCATGTGTCCTGCATGATTAGGGTTCACAACATCAGCCTAGACACATACCAATCAATTTAAACAATGTTTACACAAGTGCTTCAGCAACAATTTAAATATTCCTAAGTTCTGTTGTCAGTTGGGAATAAATAAATATAGAAATTTTCTGTAACTTATGAAAGGCTGGAACTTCAAAACAAGATACCAGGCCATAGAGTCTGTGCCTTGGATACCATCTTGACTTTTATCCCTATTTCATTTTTAAAATCACTTTTGCAAGGCAATTTGCCATAAGTAGCTGGGGTTAGAGTCTGATCCTTTATACCACTGAATTTTGGGATTTATGAGGTTTCAGTAATATAATTACCAATGAAAAGGTGCTTAGAAAAATGCCAATGCAAACATGTCAGAGTTCAAATATGGAAGAAGAAAACATTATTGCCATAATGTGAAATTATTTTTAATACTGGCAGAACCTAGTTCTTATTAAATGCAAATTTAAATAACTTCTAATTTCTAATACTTTTCATATAATCCAATGTCCTTCATTGTAAAGATGAGTTCATCTTACAGATCTGCAGAAAAGCTATAAAATCACTCTTGGTCCAAAGTGTCTGCAGTTACTGACATTTGGAAGACATTAACTTGGCTTTTTAAACCTCCCATTTTGTGAAAGACAATAATGTAATACATTTTCATTAAGAGGCTTAATATCATGTGAGTCATTCCTATTTAAGCCACCAGAAGGGCTTGCATATGCTGCACAGATTGATGGGCAGGAACATGGGTCCCATTACTTTAATGTGAGAATAAAAATTAGAGAGGCTACAGAGTGTTTCTAAGCCTTCAGCATGAAGTCCTGCTACACAGGTCCAAGCAGCTCCAATATCTGCTGCCACCACTGGTTATTGGAAAAAGGGGTGAGGATTTTCTCAGTTCAGACCCACCAGGTTTGTACACCACCCTCTGATGACCCCCCAGTCCAACCAGGACATCCCTCTGGTCAGAAGAGTAAAAACTCACCAGACACTGTTTAATTAAAAAAAAAAAAAAATTGGATGAGCAATCCTTAGAGAACAGAGAATTATATTCTTCACAGGGTAAATAAACACTTTGTTAATCAAGACTTGCATATGGCTTGGAATAAAACTCAAGGTAACATCAGAAAGGGTGCAAGGGAAAACTCATCTTCAATGCATATGGTTTTCAGAAATAACAAATTAATTAATCAATTCTTAATGGCAGCATGTAAGTGGGGTTTTTGGAAGATATTTAGAAAGCTACAAATGTTTCATGGGAAAGCACATCTGGCAAATTTGTTTTGCTGCATTGTCCCACCTGTTATATGTACATTTAAAAGATTCTGCTTTTGACTTTTATACTGGTTGCCCATTAAAGAGATAATGAAGAGCATAAAGGAAAAGGAGTAAAGATGGATGGCACATGAATCATTGACATTTTAACATTAATTAGGAATGACTTTATTCAGCAAACATTTTCTCCAGGATCTCAGACTTAATGAAGCAGTTCTGCTGAAGGTCACATACCCAGTAAGGTTTTAGTGCAGGTTTTGTGGTCCTCTGTTAATGAGATTTAATTGAATGAACCTTTTCCTTGAAACAAAGCCAGGACCTTGCTGTTATTAGAGAGATCAGTTAGTTTTAGCAAACCAGAGAACATTCTCATGGACTATAGAATGGATTAGTACTAGAAAGTTCTTTCAGCTCAAAGAAAAAATTATTTGCAATTTGCTCTTGTAGACAGTTTATTCATTGTGTTTGCATTTAGCACATGCTCTGAAAATCAGCTTCATTCAAAACTGCTGAGTTTTTGTAAAGTTAGTTCAGATCCTGTCTCGTGTGTGAAAAAACAGATTCTCCTTATACACTAAAGCCCCTCTACATATTTGGATCATGACCTCCTGGCTAAGAGCATGAAGTGACAATTGATTAAAACTTTTGCCCTCTTCCCCAGAGCTTGCAGTCACTGAGTGCCTCATGATGTCAGGATGCGTGAGTGAGCTGCTGAGATTCCTCACAGTCAGATCCTGCTGGCTTTGTGCTCATTCTTTCTCCACAGTTTTGCCTGCCAGCCCCAACAGGGCATGCAAACTTGAAAAATAGTGAGAATAAAGTGTGTGGCTGCCTTAGCTGAACAAGGGCTGCTCAGACCAGCTGGCTGGGTTCAAGCACAGGGTTTGAGACAAGTTATTCCATCTCAGCACATTTAGTAATGAATCACTCTGAAACAGCTGGATGACCCTGCTCATGAGTAGTGACTCTTCAGTGGGGACATGTATTAGCCAGTGATGTGTTTGTGCTCAGGAATGTTACAGGATGTGTATTTTAATCCTTTTTTCTAGTTGACTGAGGCCCAATTGAATGATCATTTCAAAGCTGTGTGAAACAAAGAGTCTTTTAAGTTAACAGACCCTCAGGAAGAGAATTTGAAGAACTAGGTCAGAATATATTCAGTGACAACTGGGTATACATCCCTCTTAGAGACTTCAATATCATTGGAGGAGAAAAGCAGCTGGAGGAAATAACAGAGGTGTTATTGAGCTGAATCCATGGCTGCTGCATTTGTGCATTATATGGGTGGCTGTCTTTGGAATTAGGACCAGAGCAATACCCAGAGTGAACCAGGCTGCCCAAAATGGGAATGCCATATCTTCTGAAGGATGTGTTTCCTGGTGGAAGCTCCCCTGCTCACCATAGGGAGCAGAAGGAGAAGTCCCTTGTGGTGGTTCTCAGCTGCCAAGTAACAGGCTGTGGTTAATAAGGGATTGGATGTAGCATTTGGCTATGATACCATGTGGGTAATGCCTGGAAAGACCGAACAGTGGATCAGAGGTTGGGTGAACAATTCTAGCAAGTCTGTCATCATAAATTAGCCCAGCATGTGTAAAGTTAAATCAGCCCAGCATGTGTAAAGTTAAATCAGATTATTGCAAACTGCAATTTAATTCCAGCAGCACTTGCAAGAGCAGTGAAAAGAGAGACTTTTATCTCACTTCAGGTAACAAGCTTCTCCAGGAATCACAGCAAATGAATCTGGAAGAGACCCCAAAAATCTTCTGGCTTGTTCCTCCATGGATAATATCCACCCCAATCCTGTAAGGATCTTCACAAGTGGATTTTGCTATTCCTTTTGATATTTGTATAGCAACTTTAGCCATAGAACTCAAACATTTATAATTATCATGTCCACCTCTGTCTAAGCACTGAACAGTCCAGTGAAGTGCATTCAGATCTCTGAATTCCTTGATAGACTTAATGCAGGGAAAAGCACCAGGCCTTAATCTTATGCCAGCTCTGTGGCAACCAGCAGGTTCTGGAAAAAAAAAACCCTGCTGTATGCACCACATTTGTAAATCCACAGAGATGGCTTTAATGTTCTGAACCATAATCTGCCACTGGGGCATTTCTAAAGACATTTCCATGACAAATCCACTTCCCAGGCTTGCACAGAGCTCCAGACTGGCAGAGTTCCTCTTTGCTAATAAACACATACATGTAAATGACCATGGAGGTTTCTTCATGCTTTTCTAAAATCCAGCTAATTCTGCAGTCTTTGTCCATCCTGAGTCATATTTGTGATATTTTCCTTTCTGCTGAAGGTGGCAAAGTTCTGGCTTGCTGTTTGGGAGAAATGAAGCCTTCACCAGTGACAGACTGAGAAATCCATTCGTAGCTTAGAGATTGCTTCCAATGATATCAGGAGAAAAAAACTGAGAAAAAAGATAATTTACAAGTAAAAAACCCCACCTTTTCCTGAACCTTCTTGTTAGAAGTAAAAAATAACTTGTAATTTTTAAGTGTGAGTTAACAAAAAGAGAGACTTGCACAAGGATACAAAGATGCTTGGACAGGCCAATCCTCTGACAGTCTGACCTGTACAACTGCCACTCTTTTCTATCACTAAAAATAAAATAAATTTAAAAAATTCGAAGACATCAGCATTTTAAGGCTCAAAAGCTCTCAGGGCCAGTGTTATTTATTGCTGATTTGGTAAATTACAGCAGTTCTGGGGAACATAACCAATGGTTCTGTTTGTGTGATGTATTGTAGCTGATGCTAGATCATGAAGTATTTGGTGTGCTGAAGACTTTTTGCTGTTTTATTAAAACTGTTAATAGAAAGGAATTTCAAGCAAAATGAAATTAAAGCCTGACATAAAGGTCGTGGTTTACGTTGGGAAAGAAAGCTCAAAAGAAATTGTCAGTAGGATGCATCAAAAGAACATGAGAGGAAGAGAGATCAGAGAACAGCAAGAGGGTCTAGGAAAGCAGAAAACAAAGAGTACTGAGAGAGTGAAACCCCAAGGGTTCTCATAGAAACATCAAATAAATACAAATGCTTATTTGACAGCTGCCATCTGTTTTAAAATCAATTACTAGATCATCTCAAAGCACCAACCACATGTCCAAATCGATTACTATTGTAGAGTGTGAAAGCAAGTATTTTTAGCCAGTTAGGGAAAACTCATTGTTCATATTCTCCTTTACTGACACGTTTCAGGGATGGCTGTGGAAAATGTCCTTTTATTCTATGCAACCAAATTTTTCTCTCAGTTGCTGTAGTGTATGTCCACACTGACTTCCATTAAATCATTGTAATAGATATAAAATGAGTGTAAAAAAGTAGTTATGTGTATGCAAATAGTATAAAACTGTTCTAGATTACCATACCCAATCTACATTTTCCTGTGTTG